CGGCTATGACAAACTTTCATCGTTGCTCATCGGAGCATTTTGCCCGTTCATTTTGGCTATGACAAAGTTTCATCGTTGCTCATCGGAGCATTTTCGTTCGTTTCGGCTATGACAAAGTTTCATCGTTGCTCATCAGACATTTTCGCCCGTTTCGGCTATGACAAACTTTCATCGTTGCTCATCGGAGCATTTTCGTTCATTTTGGCTATGACAAATTTTCATCGTTGCTCATCGGAGCATTTTCGTTCGTTTCGGCTATGACAAACTTTCATCGTTGCTCATCGGAGCATTTTCGCCCATTTCGGCTATGACAAACTTTCATCGTTGCTCATCGGAGCATTTTCGTTCGTTTCGGCTATGACAAAGTTTCATCGTTGCTTATCGGAGCATTTTCGTTCGTTTCGGCTATGACAAACTTTCATCGTTGCTCATCAGACATTTTCGTTCGTTTCGGCTATGACAAAGTTTCATCGTTGCTCATCAGTATTTTCGACCAAAGCGAAGATGAAAATTTCACCGGATAGGGCCCGGCAGTGGACTGGTGCATGAATCTACGCTAAGTATTTGACCGAGGCGAAGATGAAAATTTCACCGGATAGGGCCCGTCAGTGGACTGGTGCATCAATCTACGCTAAGTATTTGACCGAGGCGAAGATGAAAATTTCACCGGATAGGGCCCGTCAGTGGACTGGTGCATCAATCTACGCTAAGTATTTGACCGAGGCGAAGATGAAAATTTCACCGGATAGGGCCCGGCAGTGGACTGGTGTATCAATCTAAGCTAAGTATTTGACCGAGGCGAAGATGAAAATTTCACCGGATAGGGCCCGTCAGTGGACTGGTGCATCAATCTACGCTAAGTATTTGACCGAGGCGAAGATGAAAATTTCACCGGATAGGGCCCGTCAGTGGACTGGTGCATCAATCTACGCTAAGTATTTGACCGAGGCGAAGATGAAAATTTCACCGGATAGGGCCCGGCAGTGGACTGGTGCATCAGTCTACGCTAAGTATTTGACCGAGGCGAAGATGAAAATTTCACCGGATAGGGCCCGGCAGTGGACTGGTGCATCAGTCTACGCTAAGTATTTGACCGAGGCGAAGATGAAAATTTCACCGGATAGGGCCCGGCAGTGGACTGGTGTATCAATCTAAGCTAAGTATTTGACCGAGGCGAAGATGAAAATTTCACCGGATAGGGCCCGTCAGTGGACTGGTGCATCAATCTACGCTAAGTATTTGACCGAGGCGAAGATGAAAATTTCACCGGATAGGGCCCGTCAGTGGACTGGTGCATCAATCTACGCTAAGTATTTGACCGAGGCGAAGATGAAAATTTCACCGGATAGGGCCCGGCAGTGGACTGGTGCATCAATCTAAGCTAAGTATTTGACCGAGGCGAAGATGAAAATTTCACCGGATAGGGCCCGGCAGTGGACTGGTGTATCAATCTAAGCTAAGTATTTGACCGAGGCGAAGATGAAAATTTCACCGGATAGGGCCCGTCAGTGGACTGGTGCATCAATCTACGCTAAGTATTTGACCGAGGCGAAGATGAAAATTTCACCGGATAGGGCCCGGCAGTGGACTGGTGCATCAGTCTACGCTAAGTATTTGACCGAGGCGAAGATGAAAATTTCACCGGATAGGGCCCGGCAGTGGACTGGTGCATCAGTCTACGCTAAGTATTTGACCGAGGCGAAGATGAAAATTTCACCGGATAGGGCCCGGCAGTGGACTGGTGTATCAATCTAAGCTAAGTATTTGACCGAGGCGAAGATGAAAATTTCACCGGATAGGGCCCGTCAGTGGACTGGTGCATCAATCTACGCTAAGTATTTGACCGAGGCGAAGATGAAAATTTCACCGGATAGGGCCCGTCAGTGGACTGGTGCATCAATCTACGCTAAGTATTTGACCGAGGCGAAGATGAAAATTTCACCGGATAGGGCCCGGCAGTGGACTGGTGCATCAGTCTACGCTAAGTATTTGACCGAGGCGAAGATGAAAATTTCACCGGATAGGGCCCGGCAGTGGACTGGTGTATCAATCTAAGCTAAGTATTTGACCGAGGCGAAGATGAAAATTTCACCGGATAGGGCCCGTCAGTGGACTGGTGCATCAATCTACGCTAAGTATTTGACCGAGGCGAAGATGAAAATTTCACCGGATAGGGCCCGTCAGTGGACTGGTGCATCAGTCTACGCTAAGTATTTGACCGAGGCGAAGATGAAAATTTCACCGGATAGGGCCCGGCAGTGGACTGGTGCATCAGTCTACGCTAAGTATTTGACCGAGGCGAAGATGAAAATTTCACCGGATAGGGCCCGGCAGTGGACTGGTGTATCAATCTAAGCTAAGTATTTGACCGAGGCGAAGATGAAAATTTCACCGGATAGGGCCCGTCAGTGGACTGGTGCATCAATCTACGCTAAGTATTTGACCGAGGCGAAGATGAAAATTTCACCGGATAGGGCCCGTCAGTGGACTGGTGCATCAATCTACGCTAAGTATTTGACCGAGGCGAAGATGAAAATTTCACCGGATAGGGCCCGGCAGTGGACTGGTGCATCAATCTACGCTAAGTATTTGACCGAGGCGAAGATGAAAATTTCACCGGATAGGGCCCGTCAGTGGACTGGTGCATCAATCTAAGCTAAGTATTTGACCGAGGCGAAGATGAAAATTTCACCGGATAGGGCCCGTCAGTGGACTGGTGCATCAATCTACGCTAAGTATTTGACCGAGGCGAAGATGAAAATTTCACCGGATAGGGCCCGTCAGTGGACTGGTGCATCAATCTACGCTAAGTATTTGACCGAGGCGAAGATGAAAATTTCACCGGATGGGGCTTCTCTAGTGAAATTAAATATTTTGCCATAGCCAAAATGACGGCTAATGTATTTTGGCCATGAAAATTTCATTTTGGCTATGACAAATTTCTGGCTGTTAACATTGGCATCGACGCTTATATTGAGATGGCTGACTGCGAAGTGGCTAGCGAGGTATGCGACGTGAATATAGTTGCACTGCTCGGTTCTAGCTAAGGCTTAAATTGCTCAGTAGCCGGTTGTTGCTCCCGCTTGCAATGTAGCTTCGGAAGCGGAAATTGATCGGCGAAGTGCATTTATGTCTGTATTTCGTAGTGGGGCGTCCAATTTGTTAATTCAGACGTTGCTGGTTGGTTGGTACAGCGAAGAAGCCGCCAAATATCAGCGAAATGGTGAGAACGACACGATCGTTCGAAGTGGTGTACGCAAATTCCGTTGATATCGGAAGTACAACAAACTGGTTAAAACCAGAATACGATCAGAACTTCTGATCGGAACAGAAATGAACGCAGTTTAGCTGTGGTTCGGGATTGCTTGTAGCGTGCAAGCAAAAATCCTGATAATTCGTGCTCGTCGGTCAGGTTAAAAGCTGTATCGATCGCTTGCAGGAGTAAAATCGCGAGCCGACTGTGCCGCTGTGCCGGAAGGTGAGCATCAAACCGCTAAATCGGTGTGGCCTGGCTAGCGCGTGATGCTGGTGTCTAGAAAGCTCCGATGGTTTGTTCGAACTCCGACTGCGTCGAAGCTAAGAGCGCTTTGCGTTCACCTGCCGATGTTGTACGTGGACAGACAAAATTTACCGATTGCTAAGCGCTGTGTAGCGTGCACTGCGAGCATCGGGGTTTGTCGAATAATTGTCCAATGATTGCTACCTGGTTGATCCTGCCAGTAGTCATATGCTTGTCTCAAAGATTAAGCCATGCATGTCTCAGTACTTGCTATAACAAGGCGAAACCGCGAATGGCTCATTAAATCAGTTATGGTTCACTAGATCGTACCGTTTACACGGATAACTGTGGTAATTCTAGAGCTAATA